TCATCTAGGAATCTGAGCAATGTATGTTGTCTTGTATTTACTTTTAAGTTTAGTTAAGTATATATTACACACAAGCGGAGCATAGACGAATCGCAAGCAACCAATCATAGGCAGTTATTATACGATATTGGTTTTTTGTACGTGCGTCCAATATTAATCAGCGAGACATTTCCGCCATTTTCTCAGAGATTACTGCTCTAATTGGATACACATTAACTCAGGCTTGAGTAAAGGGGGCACAAATGAAAACCAGTAAACAGTTTCTTAATGTTTTTTATTATTATTATTTCTCAGTGATCGTAACACAACGTAACATACTTTTATTTTGGTTCAGTCGGGAACTTATAGAACTTAACACTAATTTTGGTACTAAGACAACGGGAATCTCACCAATACGGTGATAGATTAGATACATAACATATAACTCGTAAGAATTAACATGACACCTGAGGATCTATTCTAATTGTTCTCGAACGAAAATCATATACGTAAAGATTATCTGTGCATCAGAAACTGTGTGAGATCCTACCTCGGTTGCATCATAAATAATCGAAAAACGCGTTCTTTGGAGTCGTGTTGACATTTCGAAACTAGACAATTTTTTTTTGGAAAATTAGAATTAGCCTTCAGAGTATCATGTTAATTCGTACGAGTAGTAAAGTATTAAATATTAGGTTTCTAGCTAGAAAGTAACCACACGTGTGGTAATGGCTAACACAATACATGGCTCATGCACTCATTGCGTAAATTATTGCTTACATATTAAGATCAGCTGCTATAGTTAATATTTACAACCTTTTAGCGTGAAATTAACACTTCAAAATTATAGTTTTTAACATTTCAAAATATTTGAGTGCAAAAGATTAACTGTATCACAGGACTTAGCGATTACTTCAAACACACATACAATTTATTATTCTTATATATAAAATATAATCGATTAATGATTCCACTGTACAATAATATCAATATTGGAAAAGATATTTGAAACTATATTCTGTATATACTTGGAAAGAAATAAAATTTCATACGCAAAAAAATAAACTACTAAAAAGTACACACATTTTGGTATAAAATAACACTCCAAAAAAAAATTATAACACATAAAAATAACACAAAATATATGTAAATTAATTTATAACGTTACCAGGAAAACATAATTCAATTGGGACCGTGGCTAGTGACATTCGTTGAGTGAAATGGAACTGAGTTGTCGATCTTATTGGCAAACACTAGTAAGGGATGACACTTGTAATTCAAAGTTCTTATTTCCTAACACATAGATACTAATTTGTTCAAACGATCCTAAATTGCTGTAGGCGTTTTAAGACTTGCATAGAACCTTTCCATGTCCATGTAAGTCACCATGATACCGATATAGTAATTATCAGAACTTTGGCCAAAGTCAATATGGCTAAATGATTAAAAAAATAACATAAGAGAACAGTTAGGATATTTTAATCAAAAAGGAAATATTTGTTTTTAAAACATATGTGGTTTTTATATACTTTTTTACGCTATAAAAACTTCCACGATCGTTTAAATTTATTTATGTAAAAAAATTAACAAAAGTTTCGTGTTAATTGAATCCAAATGAACTCTTTTAAATAATAATATTTTATTCTCTAATAATAATATATTTTCGGTAAACGGGAACACTTTATCATAATTCATTAACGTTCATTAGTTACGTATTTCAGAAACAAATAATACAGTTTCGTAGTGTTGTAATGAGCGTAGCCATAGAGCTCTTGAGCTGCGAACTAATTACATTAATTTATAACAAACCGTTCAGCTGCCCGGCTATAACACACTAACACACAGTACATTATTATTAGTTGTTAAATACAATGCTATGTATATAAACGAATGCGTTATAATGATAACGATTTGGAACATTTTAAATTATACCGCGTTAATTTAATGAATTCTGAAACAACTAATTGAACTTAATACAACTATGAATTCAATAAATCACTCGGCATCGGCTGAGCAATCTACAAAATATTTCCTGAAGGAGGGCCGTTATTTCCAGACATGTTCATAAATTTTTTGTCCAGACTATATCCCGAAATCCCGATCTTTTGATTAGCACATTTTAGTTACCAATCTTGCAAAAGTTTAGTCGTAAAATTGTGTACTCGGTATTGATTTCGATTGCCATATAGTCTTCTGTTTTTTATATCAAATTTAAATCAATGACTATGAAAATTATTCATTCTTCAAATGAGTTTATTGCAAGCACATTTGAATCGTCCATTTTTTTTCACCTACTACCCGTGCAGGACGTCTTTTGGCTGACAAGAAGTAGGCCATGAAAAAGACGTATGAGCCACGGATATCATGATTTAGTCACGTTCACGACACATATGGTATCCGGCCTACATGAGACTAAGAACTTTTAACATCCATATATTTAGTTCACAAACAACATCGAAACAGGAGTGACTAACGTGCGAAACTAATATTTCATCAAACTGATCTTCGGACAATTTAAGACGATTTTTAATTCAAATGGTATACGTAATTGTTTTTCAAAAATCATGGATTTCTTAACTGTGAGATTTGCTTTTAATTGGTATGCGGGGCAACGAAAAATATTATATTACGTATATTTAAAATAGCTAAAAACCCTGGTATATCTAAATCATTAAGATCCCAAACGTATATAATTATAATTAAAACGACAAAATTTTATATTTCGTGCGAATGATTGATCATTTTATCAGAAAGTACACAATGTTCACCGAAAAAGATCTTTTAAGATGCATTATTACAACTTATACGATAAATAACACAATGTGGCCTGTGTCTGCGTAGGGGAACGCTATACACGTTGTCCCCGAACAGTCCCCTTGACAGGCGGGCAGGGGCTGTGTTGAACTCTTCATCCGCATGGATCCACCTGAAGACTAGTCAAAACCCGGATGACATACTCATTAAACGCTCTTCGTGCAACCTCTCTCTTTGGGGAAGACCCTGGGATAAAATAGAGAGTTCTTCACACTTTGGCCAAAGGCTACCCTCACAACGCAGGAGACTCGCGTGCATCAGACCCTTCTCCCAAACAGGAATGTGCAATGACCAGGGACAATATACGGAACAATAACGGTGTCCCGCTGCACGGATTAAACATTGCTTTATGAGTTCATGGTTAGGCCACAGGTTCTCAACGTGGCTATAACCTAATCCTTTTGGAAATAATACGTTTTTTCGGTCTTTGTCTCTATTGTAACGATAACCAATTCATATTTTTATTTCAAAATACCTCGAATAATGGGATATTTTGGTAACGTTAATTCCTAATGTAAAATCAACTAAAAATATATATAAAAAAACTAAGACGTCACATCTGTTAAAAATACCCACTAAATAAAACGACGACACTAGAAGCACTCACCAAAGAATAAGACTACAATAAAAAACACGGAAAAAGACCCTATTTAAACGTAAGTACTTTTACTTTATATATGTACTTACATTGGAAATTCAAAATATTGCACTTAAATTATTTAGATTCCATGCACAATTTATCATATAAATAAGTTTCTTATTTAAAAAAAATACTAATATTATAATTCCAAAGTTCGAAGATGAAACTACAAAATTATTTTTTTTATATCTTTCTATTAACCAATGCGTGACAAAATCATATATGGCACGACAAAGAGCTGCTTCAGTGGGTTAGTAAACACTACAACAGGTTATGCAAAAAGTACGGAATTATAAACCGTAACACAGTAAGAGTTCAGTCCAAAATCTACTGCAGTCAGCTGCCAAATCTGTCACCCTCGCAGACAATGGGTATTGCTGACATCATATTCACAAACTTTATGCGGAACTATTCAAATTGTGTAGCTGAATAAACTCTAGATACGGGTTAACCTAGCTAGTTGATAGTAAGCTCTCGTTCGGGCTTTAATGTGATGAACATCTAAAGCGTCGTTATAATGGCACCTATGACTAGATCAAATCACCTATGAAACCTACGAGTAACGATGCGATTTCGTCGTACGATGAGTTGAAACAAATAAATCTCTTTAGAGTACTTAATGAGGCTCATAAATCCTCGCGAACGAAAGTAATGCTTCCTAATAATGATATTATGACGAGTTTTGTAACATTCTGCAATAGCTTAGACTCATTAATCAGTGTTTGAAAAAATCACCAACCTTTTTTTTATTCTATTTATAGTATAAAATATATTATTGTTACATTGCGTTGAAGACATCAAAAAGGGTTACGCCGCGTGCTTTATAAAGTATGTCATGTTATTCTCTTTGTAACAGTTTTAAGGTTAAATCAATTAGAAGAATTACACAATTTTGTATTATCTGATGTGCTGTGGTGTCGCACGACTAAATATCATCGATTATCTGATAACCAATTAAGATTATTTAAGACGCGCCCTAAGTAGAGCAATTCAAAGTTGTTTTATAGAAGCACTACATTTTATTTCAAATAAAGCTATTGTATTATGCATGTGTTTGAGGCAGACATCTCATTTCCGTTTATGAAAGACTATAACCTTATTTTATGGCCGATATCGAAATTGACATCTTTACGGCACCTAAAACATGGACTCGTCGTTAGAGAATGTCTTTAATTTATTTCCGCATAGAGAGTAGGTACATTGTAATAGTGACATATTCAATAGTTCCTGTGGATAGTTTACGACTTTAGTGATCTCGCGTTATTGTGATAAAGTAATAACATTGCAACCGTCCACCGCGACGTCTGATAGGGTTGATGACAATTTTTTTATTAGTCCATCAGGTAGATAGTTGAAAAATATTAAGCAAGTAATTTTTATTGTAATAATTAAATTACATCGGTACATGAAGTTAAAAATGTCACATGACGTCACGCTTTTGAACATATCCTACAAAACTGTGACGTAGCGAACCCCCACTCCTCAACTTTAATGCCTGTTATCTATTTCTTGTTAAATTGAAGTAAAAAAATAATAATGAGGGATTAAACAGAATTTCTTTTTTTTTACCCAGTCATCAGCCCTATTCTATAAAGACATATAACTCATAGGTAGTAACAACGTCAATACAGAGACTGTTAATTATTATTGTGACGTCACATTCACTCATTAAGTTTCATAATTAATTCCATCTATATCAGTTGCTCTGAATAAATCAGAAGTGTAATTTCATATCTTGTCATTGTCATCCGTTGCTTACCAATAAAACTTATTAGTAATGAAGATGTTTATTGACTATTGTTTCATCAGTGGGAAAAATCTGTTGTAATGGAAAGATTCCGCCAGTTAACGAGATTACACTTTCCATATAATATAGGTGTTTTTAAGTTAGCTACCTAATATATGAAATAATGTAATAATAAACTTTTTTATCATATAAACTGCACCAATCAAGTATGGCGTAGACCTAATCTAGGAGTAGGCGAAATTGCATCGACGAGAGTATTTCTAACAATTATTTTTCCCAAAATATATACTTCCACTGTATCTACCCAATAAGATTTAATTTTCAACTTCGCAAAAAAATTGTATCAAATCAGTTTTAGATTACACGTACGAAAGGAGATTATTGAAAGAAAATCAAGGCATCGCGAAGGACCCTCACCTAGCTGCGCCACTGGCACTTATTAGACACTATAAAGCTATAAAACCTTAATAAAAAAAAAATAGCTTCAACATAAACTAATATATAACCGAGTGCATTGAGCGGGTTCCGTTAGTTCTCTCTGGTACAATTTACTCGGGCGTACACGATATTCGTATCATCATTCAATGCACAGAAAACGTGCCTGCGACGGGTTGCATTAGATCATGATAAAGCTTGCTACTCTTTGCTTCTTTAAATCTTATACCTACTCTTTTCAGTCCTTACTTACTGGATATTATAGTCTATATTATTGAAAAAGCAGCTATCGCAGTGGGACCTCAATTGAAGACTGGAACCTCAATAGAAATATTGAAGACAATGTAATTAATTAAGTTGTGTTACTGATTTAAATTCACCATCACCAACGGTCATCCTAGCTGCCTACATATTTAACGTATAAAAATAATATTATCGATAAATCAAAATTCAATTTCATACATTAAATTGTAGTTTATAATTCTGGGAAAAAATAACTAAAGCCTCTGTAATTATATAATAACCAAAAAGCTAATAATTGAAAAACAAATAATCTAACAGTAACATTCCAATATGAATCTCTTCACATTAATGTATTTAAGAGTACATGTCATTTAGTTCTTTGGTCAATTTCAACAGAGATATTATTCAACTATTGAATAAAATAAAATACATATTCACCTCACAAAAATATGTTGATCGCTTCTTAAAAACTAATATTCAGCTTAAATGCGAATTTATATTACAATCACTATGTACATAGTTTAATACACTTGTTTAAATATGAGTTATTGTTCGACCAGTGAGCCGTCAACCGTTTTATTTTTATAATAAGGCTCGGCACAAAACGTGCCAGTGTCTTTAGCTACCAATAATCAGCGACAAGCATCCCTTACATTTTTACGACACATGGTAATGTTTACAGAGAACATTGTTTTATTGCACCAAGTGACTTCGGGTGACACGCGTTTTAGATACACATATATTCAATTTCCCACACTAGATGTCGCGCTAAAATTGTTATTATGGTATCAATTACGTTTCATTAACATCTCTTTCTAACACAGTTCAAAATGACAAAGATATTGGTTCCCTTTTATTTGTAAAATTATCTATTGGAGGCCTATAAATATTGGATCTCAGTCAATTAATACAGTGGAAAATTCAATTAACTGAAGCGCCCTGTTGAGACGCCTTTATTGCATTTACATACCATAACCGTAAACTTTACTGTAACCGAATCAATAATAAAGGCAACTTGTTATTAACAAAATCTATGTCAAAAAGAGACGTTATTGAAACGACATCAATATAATGTAATTACATTAACATTACCAAAAGTTGAGATACTGATCATCGCTTGGTTTATGCCGAGCCTAAAATTTAAAACTTATAATAACTACTTACAAAATTTACACAGCTTCACTCACAATTTATTAAATATATTATACAATGTTAATGTTTTCTTCACGTTTATTGAGCAAGCTAATATATTATGTACTCAATATTATTACGAGTCACCGGTCTCCTATGCGATAATACTACATTTTTATAAGCTATGTTTCGTTGGGTTCTGTCTAGATGCATTATTACCTACCCTGTTCTATCATTTTTCAACATTTAACCAACAACAATCTACAATACGTTCACGTCATTAAAAATATAGTTTATAACATATAGAGGATGGATTTTTAGTAGCACATGGGTATAGTGGTTGTCATGGAAATTATGTAGCACCGCAAATAATCGGTTATACATAACTCTTGTGAATCGAACACATTTTACGCATTTCAACTTAGGAATGATGATTTTATACCTATTTGTTCATTTACTATTTTAAAATAGGTCTTTAACTGTCATATATTTTACGACTTCTATGATTTTTTTGTTTTTAGTTATCGTTTTAAACGAACACCATATTTTCGAATTTTAACAATATATTTTGGCAATTGCAACACAGTGGCCGGCAAAGTTACAAGATATATCAGCCGTTATATCCCGGCAATATAGCCAAACATTTTTGATATAGGCGCTATTGTTATAACATTTCTGGGATTACCGGGCGATAAATGCCGAAATATATTGCCCCTATGTGTGAGTTACAGTTGTGATAAAAAATAAAATAAAATATTGCTATTATATTCACAATGCTATATTGGATGAAGGTGGGATTGCCAAAGGTCGTGATTAGAAACCACTGAGCTTTTCCGCTCTGTAGTAGCGAAAAAGTAACGTGTGCTTGAAAAATTCGTCAATCGTATTAAGTTCTGAGTAGCTCAGCGGTTAGAGCAGTCGCTTGGATTGCGAAAGTTCGTGGGTTCGAATACCAGGGACAAAGTGGATATTTAAGCATTTTTCATTAAGAATATAAAAAAATAGCTCATCTTCTTTTAGCAGAATTGGCACTTAAATTTATTGTAACTTCTACGTGCCTAGAACTAATATCTAAATACTATTGGTAAACATAAATAAAACTTGACCGACAATTTTACAAGAAATTAGTTTCACTTTCAGAAAAGTGTGAAAAGTTGTGCAAAATTTGCATACGAGGCGATAATAATTCACAGTAAAGACCTAGCTTTCTTAACAAATTAATTTTAGTTTTAAGCATAATATTAAAAGCATAACTTCCGCAAAGAGATTGCATACAAAATGGCAGTAATTCACAGCAAAGACCTAGTTTTTAATATCACGCCACTGACGTGTTACAACTGCGTGGTAAACGTGTATCAAATTTAATAGTCTGTGCTTACATATTGTTCCAGAGCTTTTGACTAGTTGACTAGTGCACTAAGATGCGGTGACGTCACGATGCCAAACTCGGGCTGGCGCGAGATAAGGTTACTTGCCCCTGTATTTCTCGGTGGTGGCGTCTTCTAGATTACTGTCCCAATCGAATTCTGTGACACCGGTGCGGGACACTTCGCCGAGGTGCCGCCACCTATACTCAAAGTCCGTGTCCCGTTTCTTCAACGCCTCGAATCTAAGACAGAAAAACGGCATGTGTCAATTTCAACGGCCGATGGCAACCATAGTGCGTGGGCCTTAATCGTTGTCATTATCCCTTATCCTTTAACACGTAACTGGTTTAACTTCAATTATGTTCCAATTTAATATTCAACAACATGTGGCTATGTGGGTGGTTATTATCTGGCCTTATCGCGAGATAAACTTCCAGTAATTAATTTGAGATGGGAGATAATTTTCTCATAACGTGGACCACCTGATAAGTTGTTTAATCTCTTAAACTTTGTGAATGGTGGTTATAGAAAAATGGTGACACCCGTTGCATCTAACCACAGCAGGCGAACTATTATAACTTTGATTGTTTGCCAGAAAAATCCCAGATTCCTTTTAACGGTTATCTTTAGAGATTTAGATCAGTGTTTTCCATCGCGACCCGGTAAAGGGTCAACAAAATAAAATACCGGGTCGCAACATTCCCGCCTTGTTTAAATTAAATTAGCTTATCAAGCAATAACATTTTCAATGCCTCTTGTCACAACTTATAAATGTTGTGTTGGACTTGGAGAGGAACCTCAGATTAAAACTTTATATTCCGCGAACTCGGGATTCTTTAACAAAAACTAGAAGCAGCTCCATACTTCGCATTAAACTTTAGTGAATAAATAATTCCTTCAAACGAGCAATTCTTATATACATATACATAATCGGAATCTTAGAAACGGCTTCAATTATTTTTATGACATTATGCAGGTGGTTTCAGGGCTGATAAAAATATCAAAAAATATACCGTGCAATGCTCTGTCATCCAGTTACTTATAGTTTTTTAAATATCATGTAGCTCACGAAGAGGCAGTATGTAAATTACCGAGCCAGTGCAAAACAATGTTTGGGAAGCACTGAGCTAGAAAATCACAAGTTAAGAAACACTTCACTAGGAAAATGTAATTTATTTCTTTTGTAACAATTGTGGAGAGAGTAGAAAAGATTATTCTTATATTGTGAGTAAATGGTACACTCGAACAATCCTATTAGACGGTGATTAATCATCTTTGACAGGCAATTTGGCTTCGATGTTTCAGGCAGAGTATTTATTGAGGCTTTCATAAGCTATTTGTCAACCGCAACCTGGTAATTGGGTTGAAATGATTTAGATTCGTGATAGTGGTGCGTGTAGCCCTGACATTAGAGCTAGCCACATCGCCATTTTGGCTTACCCAACTTTTAGTTATTTATTCCTAATACAAAATGCTTAAAAAATCCACTTGGTCCCTGGCACCCTGAGATGGGAAACGAATTTAATTTTTTTAAGCATTTTGTATCAAGAATAAATTTCAGTATGGCATTGTGAATGCAAAATTAATCAAAATATAATAATTTTAGTTATTTTTTTTACAAAGGTAAAGTATATTCCTTAAGTGTATTTTACTATATACAACAAGCTTTTTTGGATACAGAAATGACTTAGTGACAGTTAATAACGACTGCACGTCAGGTCAATAATTGCATCTCAATAGAATCTCAACTACTTTTATTCCGCCATTGTACTGTCCTGAAGTTCAATAAATAATAATATTGGACTTCGCGTAGATAGTACAATGGCAATATCTTAATCGTTGAGATTATGATGCGATTATTGCGTAAAATTTACAGAATTTGCCTACTGGTTGCATCTGGCAGTTGTTAATACCTATCAATTAACACTTTTTTTAATCCTCGGTATGGGAACAGTCAATACTATCAAATCCAAATCTCGTGAGTGTTATTTTATCATTATATAGATACTATTGGGAAATTAAAGAAAATTAATTAGGTTTAGATTTAAAGACATGATAAACCCTCGGTATGGGAAGAAAGATTCGGGATCCAGAAAGGAGCCCGCTGGATCCAACCCCACATCGGACCACATGGAGTGGAGCTCCCCTGTTGCGGGCTGGGAAAAGATCAGGCTACTTGGCCGCCGCAGGATGGGATGCGCTAATATGTTATCCACACCCCCTCCCGTCCACGCTTGTAGAGAATGTAGTCCGGGTCTCCTAGGGCTAGCCAATCACTCAGACATATGCCTGTCATAGTCAGCGACGAAGGGATGGAGTCGGCTGCGGCGAGGTACTCACCATTTCGGCGCATTTAGTCGTTGGGGGGAGGAGCCATGACAGGTGGTCCGGATTGCCCAATAGCGCACCGGTCCTGCTTCAGAGGCGACTGTGGGGGATGACTACCCCCACGGTCATTGCACCACCTCCGGTTGTCAAGGGAGGGTTCCTTGTAACCACCTGGGAAACCTCCCGCCCGCAGAGAGGAAGAGACACCACCGGGTGTCCCCCACGGTCCGGATCTACCTGGGACTTATTTTAAGATACCAGGTACCGGACTATGCGCGAGGGTGGTACGGGGGGTTTTGCACGGTAGGCCTGCTGTAGATAGGGGTTTCTTTAACCCTCTGCAGCAGGAGAGCCCGGGTTCAGTCGGCCTTTCGTCCAGGTCGATGGCATGTTAAGGTAAGTACCCCTCGGTATAAAAAAATAAATAAAAAAGGGCTGGCCAAACACTACAAAGACATGAATGGTTTGTTACAGCTCTTTCTCCCTCCTCCCATTCCCTATTCCATCCAACCATAAGGAAGAGCTGTGCTCCAGCATTGGGGATGTTAACAGAACAAAATATCAACAATTTCGCAAGATGTGCTCTCCGAAATAGAACCAAACGCTCATTGATTAACAACTGCAATCACGACCTGTTATATCAACTAGATAGGAATAATAAATATGGCGACCTAAATAACTTTCAATTATACTTAAGCAATAAAAATAGCATCGTATACAAAATCAATTTGAAGCCGAGATAGTACTTCCATATTACACAAGTCTACAGACAAGTAATAATGTAGGTCTAATAGTATATTAGAAGTCTCATTCATCTCAAGTCATTAATAGTATATTGTAAACTTTGTTATTCGCACCCGTTACTTGTAACTAGCCCCAGCCTGCGATCATTATCGTTAAGCATCTTTCGCAACGGTAGGGCATGGGATGGAAAACCAAAAAAATATTATCTTGAGCTACTCCGCGCTTCGGAAGGCACGTTAAGCCGTTGGTCCCGGCTGCATTTGCAGTTGTAAATACCCACCAACCCGCATTGAGCCAGCGTGGACCATCGTCCTTAACCATCCCTAAGAAAGGCCTGAGCTCCTGTAGTGGGGACGTAAAAGGGCCCGAGCCCCTGTATTGGCTCACCTTTTGAACATGAGGTTCTTGGCGAACTCGTATAGCTCTAGATCGAGCGAGTTCAGCCGCTTGATCCTGGCCACCTGCACCGGCGACAGCGCAGCCAGCGTGGCACCGGACACCGTCGCGTTGTGCTGCGTGAACGGTACAGCGAACCTCAAATTGAATGTCTCTTCGAACACGTACTGGGATATCTGTACGAACAATTACATACATTATACATAAAATCATAAAAAAAAGCTTTCTAATGGGATTGGTATGTTCATACTGTAAATGAAATGGAATAATATAAATACGAACGAATACGTACGAATTAACATGATAATTATCTAAAGGCTATTTCTACTAAAACGAAATTTCGTCTATTTTCGAAATGCTAAGAGAATTAAAAATATATATATTATACAACGGTGGTAGGACCCGACACTGCCTCTGATCGGATAATCTTAACAGATTTAATTTTAACAGAATCATAAGAACTATTAAATTTTTTCGAATTTTCGTTCGACGACAAATAGAATAGACCCTAAGTATCATGTTACGATTATTCGTACGAGTACCAGAAATAACACACTGTGAAATTAAAGACTATTTGTAGCTCTCATTCTGTGTGTGCTTGTCTCTCTCTCTGTGTGTGTGTATTTATTTGTCTGACCTAGAGATTCAGTGTGACACTACTACTAGTTTGATAAAATCACCTTATATTAGATTACGTAATGCTTGACTTGATATGTATTTACATCAAAAGTACATTATTTTTACTCCAAAGTTATGATATTTTGTGCATTATTTACGTCACAAATAGCTACATCAGATCTAGCATTGAAGAAAACTTCTACGGCCAAGAAATAATTTCCAACGGTACAAATCTTCGGAGTTTCATAGAATCGACGCGAAGCGCTATCGCACACATTTCAACGTTCCACCTAGACGTCTCGACAGTAAAAAGAATATTCTTGAAACTTTCCGCGAGAGGATTTATGTGACGCTGTTATTAAAAGAAAGTTGTACTCCGATCTAAATCCGAGTTAAGTCAGCCGGAATCCAACTGTCCAATATATTAGAGGGGCACCCGCTCAACAATAAAGCTTAATAAATTAAAGCCATTCTTTACCCCGATCGGTGGACAAACATTAAAAACAAATGACTCTGGAATGGGACCATGAATATTCATGGAGACAAGAACACTGCGGGTTGTGAGCTGGATCAGAAGGACAAATGGATTGAAAGATACGCCGACTAACGCGATAAAACACACTAAAATCTAGGTTGCATTTTACACCTTCCACGATCAGAGTAGGTACCGGAAAAATGTCTAGGAAGCAGAAACCAAGTGTAAATATTAACACTAATTCCTTTGCGTAGCAAAATATTGGATGAAAAAACTTTTGCCGTTTTGGAAGTCTTTTCGAACTTCTTGAATTTGAGACGCGTGTGGGCTAAAGCCACAAATATTAAATAAATTGTTCCTAAGTAGTTTTTAGGGCTAAATATTACCTAATTATAAATAAACAAATTAATATAACACAAAAGTGTGTGAAAATAATCAAATTTCTCTTATGATGAAAAGTGCGGTGTTTTCATTTAATAAACTACTACGTTTAAGCCCGTCAAGCCCTTAAATAGGTCTGTCCCTGCCTATGGATATCTAACATCGAGCGTCGCACACAACAAATATTGTGATTTAAGTCTGTCTACCTACTCCGCAAATGATATACACCGCGGTGAAGATAATAATAATAATAATAAAAACAATCTTTATTTGCGAAAATATGCTTACAGTGTAGTTTAACAATTTTAGACCAGCATATTTTATCGTCAAGACAATTTGCAAATATTAAAGTCAAAATACGATATGTTTTGTCCATTAAATATATGAATCCATTAAATAATGTTATTAACATTATCAATACTTTTCAAATCGTTCGATAATTTATTATAAATGCGTATACTCATACGAATTAACAACGAATCTGTGAATTGGAATACATAAATTTGTACCCACCCTACCTACCTCTATCTGCAAAATCATTGTTGTTTAAATAAATGGGTTTTTTTTTAACAAACAAATATCCCTATTACCAAAATATATAAACATTTAATGCTTAAAACATGTGTCCAAGTAGCTTGCACCACAAACTGACCGTCACGAATTGCATCCACCGAATTACCCCATATCACTATACCATACCGCAACACAGATGTGACGTAACTATAATATGCTATTAGAGCGGATTACTTAGTGGTCACTTGTCTAATTGTATTAAGAACAAATATAAATCTGTCCAATTTGGCAGCAATCATGTCTCTATTAGATTTGTGAGATGGTAGCATTTATATAATAATTTATTCATATTCCGAAGAAACTTAAGACAGATCTAATAAAACCTTCATCTACTTCTTAACAAGATTTACAATTAATTTACCAAGTCATAGTTGTGAATGTATAATAAAGTGACAACGCCAAGGCGGTCGCTGTGATAGATCCGACAAGTGTGTTCTACTGTTTGTTATGTAAGTAGGCTATATTGTTTCAATAGAGATCTCATTAGCGTGGGCCGCTCATAAATGCTCCTGTTCTCACTGCCTCAATGTTTCTTAAAACGATAACAGTATGAATTGATGACATAATTACATTAGCATTACGTTATTTTTATTAGGGATGCACAATAACAAACAGCAAAGCAAAACCTTTTGTGATCATTAATTTACACATTCGAGCATTCATCATCATCATCGTCATCAGCCCTTTTACGTCCCCACTGCAGGGCCTCAGGCCTTCCTTACGGATGGTTAAGGAGGATGGGCCATGACCCTCCACGCTGACCCAATGCGGATTGGAGAGTATTAACGACTGCAAATGCAGCCGGGACCAACGGTTTAACGTGCCTTCCGAAGCACGGAGTAGCTCGAGATAATAATTTTTTGGTCACCCCTCAAGTGACCGACCATTGCGAAAGTTGCTTAACGACAACGATCGCGGGCCGCGGCACTTATCCACTACGCCACCGAGCTTCCCTTTTAATCATATTTATATTTTCGAGATTCGAGCATTGTGTTAATCATATATATAAAAAAAACGCGATACCATTGCTGAGTTGAATCAAAACGTATTATTTGCTTAAGTCGGAATCATTATTATGAACTTATACTGTCCCATACTCAAAAATTTTTGCTTAAAGTGCGTTCGAGTTAATTCTTCGCACTGTTCTGACTATACCTAAAAGTGATCTGATCAAAATCATATCTAAAGAATGTTATTATTCTATTGAATATGTGAAAATAAATATTGGTCTTAATCTCTTTTTCATTTGAAAATTCTTTCTCTAATTCAATTATAAAATGGCCTAGAATGTGATAAACTGAATATTTGGATTCATTTACTAGGCAGCAACATTAAAATTCCTCTGAGTCATATAACTACAAGTATCTTTCGGACCGTTTCGCAAATTTATTTTGTAACTAGCCACACTTCACTTTAAGCCGTTGGCTTAGTGTAATCAAATTGTATCTCTAAGATTAAATATTCCAGGTTCAAGTTTAAACTTTTTAGCTTTCACATCAGAACCATAATAACTAATAGTAATAATTGGATTAGAAAAAATAAATATGTTTTAAGATTTTAAAAAATGTCAATTCATAACGGTAAAATCGCTTTTATCTATCGCTCTATAAATACAAGAAAACGGAGACCCAGACTCTGACCGGTGACAAATGGCACTGCAGATACGGCGACCCTATTCAACTGGGAATAATTGCCAGCATATCTTGCACGATCAACCAATTAGATAACTTTAAATATACCTGTGATCGATATTAAAAAAAACTTTGCCTACCTATGACAAAAGATATTTAATTTAGACAATAATAATATTTATTTTTTGCTATGCATCTAAATATACGTAGCGATGGCAAACACGAGTAGCTCGGTGGCGTAGTGAAAAAGCGCCGCGGCCCGCGATCGTAGTCGTTAAGCAACTTTCGCATGGGTCGGTCACGGGATGGGTGACCAAAACATTATTCTCTCGAGCTACTCCGTGCTTCGGAAGGCACGTTAAGCCGAGATCCCGGCTGCATTTGCAGTCGTTAATACCCTCCAATTCACATTGGGCCAGCGTGGAGGGTCATGGTCCATCCTCCTTAACCATCGATAACGAAGACCTGAGCCCCTGCAGCGGGTACGTAAAAGGGCTGGTGAAGATGATGATGATGATAGCAAACAGTTGTTCATATTTTGATCACGAATAAAGTTCATGGGTAATTTTTTATGCCAATGGGATACCTCTTTAAAGTCTGCTAGTACGAGGGTCAAACTGAAAGTTCTTAGAAAATCAAAAACTGATTACATTAGCCAGTTATTAGTTTTATTATATCTTTTCAAAATATTGTCCATTCACGTCAATACACCGCTGCATGCGATGGAACCACTGGGAAAAGCACTTTGCCCACTCGTCCTTAGGGGTCTCTTCAATGGCATCGCGATACGCAGCCACCGCTTCTTCAGCATTCATAAACCGCTTTCCTTTAAGTTTTTCTTTAATTTTTGGAAATAAATAAAAATCACAAGGCGCGAGGTCGGGTCTATACGGCGGGTGACCCAGTAATTCAACGTTTGATGTCGCCAAATAGTCGATCGTTCGCTTGGCGGTGTGCGACGAGGCGTTGTCGTGGTGAAGGAGGATCCTACTGCGAGGTCGTTTCTCTCGAACTTTTTCCAAGACAAGTGGCAAACAATTGGTAGTGTACCATTCTGCAGAAACTGTTTTTTGATCCTCTAACACAATTGTTGCAAAATGACCTATCCTTCCAAAGAACGAGGCCACCATTTTTTTTCCCGCACTTCGATCTCTCTTCACTTTAGTTGGCAACTCCTCGAAAGGAAACACCCACTGAGCAGATTGTCTTTTGGTTTTAGGATCATAACAGTAAATCCAGCTTTCGTTACCTGTTAGTATGTCGAACACAGCATTTGAGTCACCTCCGTTAAATCTTTCAATCATTTTACGACACCAATCCACACGTTGTGGTTTTTGAGCCTCAGTCAAATTATGAGGTGTCCACCGGGCGCAAAGCTTCCTGACCGCTAAATGTTCGTGGAGGATTTTGTGCACTTGACTCATACCGATGCCTAAGCTTGTCCGAATCTGTTGATAGGTCACTCTTTTGTCAGTCTCTATCATACGCCGCACAACAC